ATCGCGCCTCCGCTTCCTGCAGCTCGGTAGGGCCGAAACGACAACAACGAGCCCAGCGGGGCGCCGGCCCTGGCACCACGCCCCTTCGGCCAAGGAGAGCGGTGGGGTCCCACACCCCAGAGCAGGTGAGTGCGCAGCCGGGTGAGGAGCGTGGGAGAGGTGGGGACGCCTGACCTTCAGCAAGGCCGCCCGGCGGGCTGTCCTGAGGCGGAAAATTCAAAATGTAATCTGGAGAATAAAGGCCGTTGGGGAAGTTGGAGGAAGAGGGTGGCTGGGAAGCAGGTCCCTGTATGCAAGGATCCAAATGGATCGGACCAGCCCTCCAGAGACGTGTTGTGTTACCACTGTTGTGTTTCAGGGAAGCGTGTGTGCGTGAGCGTGTGTGTGTCTGTGCGTGTGTGTGTGTATGGTGGTGGTGGTAGTCTCAGAGGTCCAATGCTGTCCAGGCCCCTGGGGGAGGAGGCCGAGGAGCCCTCACTGACATCCAGTGAGGTTGGAGGCATGGATGGGCTTGTTTGCTCTCAGGATCAATCTAAGGGGCACTGGGCCCCCTCAGAGCCCTGGGCCAAGGAACCATCCCTAAGCCCCACCAGCAGCACCAAGGCAGCTGTGAACACTGCACTCCATGCTGGGACGTCCCCTGGACACCTCCTCATCTCCTGGCAGATTTCAGGTTAGAATCACCTTCCAGAGAGGCCACCCAGATCACCCACCTCCAGACCCTCCAGACCCTCCAGATTGATGCTTTGCTACTCCCACCCATGACGGCTGGCCCTTCCCTGCCAGTCTAAGTGGCTATCAAACTATTGTCACTACTATCTGAACATGGTTTTCCTTCTAAATCAATTTCAAAAACCTCAGCCACTCAAGTTCCATTTCTATGATGTGCACAGCACTTTTCTTTGAATATTGTACTTTGGAAACCAGATTCTTACAGAACCTGAGTTCAGAGAATAGAAACTTGCAGCTCACTACTGACCATCACTATGTTTAGATCTCCTCGAGAGCACCTGGAGAGAGTTCCTCTCTTCCCCGGGCCCCTTGGGCACCAACCCCAAATATCCTGTTCTCAGCCACTCTCCCTCACCCCAGCCCAATGAGAGTTTTGAATGTGTGTGGGGTGGGGACTGGGCATGGGAATGGTTGTTGTGGGAAGGAGTCAATCCCCACCACTGAGGAGGATTTTGTGCCTTTTTCCTGTCAACTGGACCCAAGTGGTGGGTTCCAGAACAAGGGGAAAAGCCCACTCTTGCCTCTGTTCCACTCAGGTTATTTTAAGTTTTGGTACTAAGGATCAAACTCAGGACCTTCAGGCACGGAACCACTGAGCTAAATCCCTGGCCCATACTCAGGTTATTTTTAAAAGGAAGTCCTATCCACCCCAAGAAATGGGAAAGTCAGAACCCCTGTCACTCAAGAAAGGCAATTGATGACAAGAAGGAAAGCCAGGCGAGGCTGTTAGTCCAGCACCTTGCTGCCTGCAGAGCATGCCTGAGGCTGGCTCTCAAGGTTGTAAAAGGGAACTGAGCAAAAATTCCAGCACAAGCACCCAACGGAGACTCGTTCCTTAGTGTAATACAATGAATTAAGAAAGAACTGACCAGGATGACAAAAGCAGTCACTGAGCTGAGCAGTCACAGAGCCTGGAGTAATAGAAAACAAACTCCAGTCCATCCCCTGGGGAGAACCTGAAGGGGTATCCTTCCAGGAAGCCCACCCTGCTGCACACCCATATCAAGCTGTGCCTTTCCCACTGACACCATCCTGCCTTACTGTAATGGTTGGTACCTTCCATCCCAGAGTGCGTTTCATAAGAACAACCCCCGATCTGTCTTGCTCCCCTCACTATCAAGGTGCCCCCACAGGGCCCAGAGCACGGCTGTTAAGGAACAGAAGAGTAAATGAGGAATGAATAACTCAGTGAACCTGCTTGACTTTGATCTGGGTGCCCCCTTTCCAGTAAACATTTCCTCCT